ATATATGCACAGTCAAACTATAAGATGCAAAAAATATTACAGGTAATATTATGCATTTTAATGACAAAAGGAGAGAGGTTGTGTTGTTCGGGCCTAGCAGCAGCTCAAAACCTCATGTTGAACTGGCCTCTTTCAATCAGTATGTGACACCTACTTTCACCCCTGGTCATAACAGATCAACACTCATCATATTCTCTGGCAACTGGTGACATCACCTTAGCCCCACTCCCTTTGAACATGACTGGAGCCTGTGGGCTTGGCTGAATGGCACTGATCGCAAATGACGTCAAAATGCTGAATTTAGAACAGTGCACTGTGCATGTCCCTGGCCACATTGGTTTCGGACAAAAAGTAGCGTTAGTGAATGAGACAAATCCTATTCAAAACATTGCAACTTTGACAGAGTGATTCAAGGTATGGTGATTGGGAGCAAATGAAGGAAGTTTTGTTTTTTCTTTTTAAATTCCATTTCCAAAACTCCAAAAATATAAAGAGGAATATCGGCGCTTGAAGCAAGCTTGTAAGTGATAAGAGTTTATTACAGAAATTGCGACCAAGTCGACTATAAATGCTTTCAACATTTCAGTGGTAGAAAGGAACCAACAATTGACTTTCCGTACCCCATACCAGCGACTCCAATATCTGTGCCGGTAAATGTATGTTTTTACAGGAGGATGAAAACGTCAACATTCAATACATGATATCCCTCATCGTTGAATTGTAAATCCGCCACACACTGCAATGTGGGATATTAAGACATGAGTTTATCTCAGGAGTGCCACTTAGATATGTTTGAAAATTCTCAATGAAATTATCAAGGCTGTAAGCACCTGCTGGATTATTTTTTTATTACCGTTTAAACCTTGGTCTATCTCACAAAACTGACATTAAAAACAATGTTTGTCGCTAGAATTTTTTTTATGGCTAGTCCATTTGAATCTTGTGAAGACAAACATGCATGTTTCCACAAATAGTATTTCCATGAAGTTGTGTGTCAAGTAGATATTAGTCATTAACTCTGCCACAAAATTACAGATGGATAAAACAAGCAGCAGAGGAAAACCGATATAGGCTCCGTGTCAGTCTAATGTTGTGATATAAAAAAAAAAAAAAGCATTAAGCAGGTGGGTGGGAAACTCTGGCATTAGGATGTGTGGATGTTCTCAATTAGTGATCACACTAACAATTAGGAGTTACTCAAGGAGAATGTGAGTGGTGTGTAGCTAAGCAAGGGGAAGTAAATATTATACAAAATCAATAATTGCAATCAAGTAATCAAACAATAATATTGCACAGGTGTGAAGTGACTTAAATCACTGTGCTGTTTTTATTTTACAGGGTTTCTACACGGAATCTGCTAAAACCAGGCAATGTATGGATGGATGAATGAATGAATAATGGATGGTTGGAAATATATTTCTATACTGTTTTTTTCCATTTCATACTTTTCCAGACTTGTAAAACACTCAAAGCAGATTCCTTATTTCCTCAGACTGTGTATTAATGCTGTTTAAAATACTTCTTGACAAATTAGTACCTTTAACAGCAAACTAATTTAGAAAATAAAAAAGACCTGCTTTACACTCATCTGCTTTGTTACTAAACTAGATCGTAGGGTTTCTGACTCACTGTGAGGACAGAGAGTAGGTCATGCAGAGGCAGCTCGGCTCTCAGTCGTTCCTTAAACATCCGGATGGTTGGATGCTTCAGGTAGTAATAAGAAGCAATGCGACCATATGTCAGTGGCTCAACTGTCTGATCATCCTGAAGGAAAAAGCAAAGAATCTCTGGGTAATAACATGACAGTGGCAAATACAAGTAGTTATACCAACATTACACACCCACATACCTCTTTAATGTCAATGCAGTAAGAGCATTCCAGGTCCAGCAAGCTTCTTTCTACCAAGTTGGAGAGGTATTTGTTGATGGACTCGTGGCTGATGTCTTCTAGGCTGTAATAGCTGAGCATCACAGACAATATTGACTTTGTAGAAGTTTAACTGTGAATGAGCTACAAGACAAGTTGGCAGAAGAGAGCGATTTAACCAAACAATGTTTTATTTCAGAAAAAAAATTTTATGCCACAGACTAATGGACAGTCATCTCATAATATCTCGTAAAGTCCTGGGGTCATTTATAAAGGATTGCATAGGATTCATACGAAAAGCGTAAATATGCATAAAAGAAAAATTGCACATGCCAAAAAAAAAGATCAATTATCTTTTATAAATCTAAGTTGTACCTAAAAGATTGCGCACAAAGTAGCGCCTCAGGTTTTGCCTTCTGCACACCCACATTCAAATTTGCGCCTGCTGCCTTCCTTTGATGTGGTAGCTGTTTCTCAAGCTCCCTCTCTGGAATCGAATCCCAATTTCCTGTTACCGTGGTCATCATAGTATATACGTAGATTACCATCCAAAGTTGATAGGGCAGACATTCAAATGAGATGTCGCCACCATGGAGGGCCAACAATCGGCTCGAGGTTATCTAGACTCACCAAAGCGGCCGGATACCTCATGAATCTCAGTGTTTGTCTAAATGAGCCAGCAGATCATGTTTTATGATTATCAGGGGAAGACTCAGGCAGAAAGTGATGTTAAGGAGATGTAGAGCTGAAAACATCATATTTGATATCCATAGTAACATAAAATAGTGAAAAGTTTAAACTCCACTACTGGCATTTTAGGAGCTATGATCCACAGTTGAGCGCTCACAGGTGTGATGATATTAAAGTGTGTCTCTTCTGTGCCCTTGGTGTTTTGAAACGGGGTTACATGCCAGTACCTTTGGGGTATAGAATGGAATAGAATATACTTTATTGATACAAAGTACTCTGTGGTGCACTTTGTGTATATGTATGGGGGTCTGGGGGATGCTGGTGTCATCCAGGATGGCAAGTGTTCATTTTTTATTAATTCAAACACCTGTCTGCTAAACTGAATATTGTTCAAACTTTGCTTTAGGATTGAGGCTGCCTTATAGACTTTGCTTGTTTATTTGAGAGGTCCCTATGAATAAAACACAAATTGACGTCAATTTGTGTTTTATAAATCACAACCTTAACGTAAAAAATGGCATATGCCAGTGTCAGACTCCGATTTGTGCATATGTAAGCTTTGACCCCTGGGGCCTCATGTATAAAGCGTGTGTACGCACCAAAAATGTGCAGCGCCATATTTTACGCACAAGTTGGCCTGTATAAAAATAAATTTTGCGTCAAAAGTATATGCACACTTTTTCCCCGGCGTGAAAATATGCGGCAGCCACACAAACTTTTTCTGTGGACAATATCAAGATACAAAGCGTCAAAACTCACCTAAATCCACTGAAACCTCACTACATTCAGTTATTTAGACCAAGAAGCATCAAACCCAATGTTTGTTTTCGTGATTTTAATAATTTATTGTTTAAACATAAACGATGAAACTGAACCGCATTTATCCTCAGACAATAACACAACACGCACACAAAATAAAGAAAATAAAAATACATTCAAGTGAATGTATCATTTACATTCACTCGAATATAAATAATACATTTCCTCAGTTTTTGTCTCACAAGGTTTCCCCCAGTGTATTATAGGCCTGGCGGCCCGCCATGCTTTGCTAGCCCCATCGCCAGGCTAATCCATTCTTGCTTATGATTTTAGGAAAATAATAATAATAATAAAAAAAAAAAGAAAAAAAAAAGCCAGATTGTAAGCGTCACTGTTACTCTGAACGTTTCACTGGTGGACCAGATTTATTCCTAAAAGATATGTTTATAGAAGATAGGTTTATAGTTTATGCATTTAAAGCTGTACCAATCACACTGCTGGCGCCTCTGCACGTTGCCTGGAGCTGCTGCAGCTGCTGGATTAAGTTAACCTCTTCACGGATCAAGCACGCGCCTCCTTTCACTCAAACTGGACACAGGCTGACCTGTATGGATATTTACATCAACCCCCTCTGAGGAATTATGTTTCTTTCTTGACATTTTGATCAAGGTAGGAGTTTAAAACCCACTGTGTTAGCTCTGGTTGCGCAGCTCTACGTGAACCATAGGAATAACTTGTAGTGGCGCTTTCAGAGGTGCATTGAGGAGCAGTGAGAATGATTCATCTTTGTGAACAAAGAATTTTGTGCGGCCTTTATAGCTCAACACACCGCCCAGCACCCGGCTCTTTCTGCGCTGATGAAGTTTATCTCTGTGTTTCTGGTTGGCCGGAAGGTTAGCAGTTAATGAATCAGCGCTAACCTCATCATGCAGGTTCAGCCCGGTGAGGAGCTTTCGCGCTCGCCTCGCAGTCACGCATCACGCTGGCTATGTCAAATGCTTTGTCCACTTAGTCAGCCAGAGTTAATGCGCGCGGAGATCTGAGAAACTCGTCCCATAAACTGGACCAAGCAAAATAGTTTATGTGTCTCCATGTTAAAAACTCAACAGACACGAAATGGAAGAGCTACTAAAGTCACATTAGCAGCATTGAATTAAATCTCCTGTTTGTTGCTCATCTCTGCGCAGTGCAGCGGGTTTAACTCATCATGCAGGGCCGGTCCAATGCTGTATGAGGCCTGGAGCAGAATCTGACTTAGAGGCCCCTTTTGTTGCTAAAAACATCAGCACCTCTACCAGCTTCTGTGTTAGATTTAATGAAATTTGGGAGAGGGGGAGTAGTTTAAATGGCCAACCTAATAAACAATAAGTTATAATTGCAGTTTATTAATTTGCATTTGTGAACAAACAGAGCTCAAACTCAAAGATTAAACTCATAGCATCAGATTGTTGCTGTGGTAACTCCAAACAGTTCAGGTTTATTATTCTTAAGGTGATAAAGGTGTGTAGACAATCATATGTATATAAGTAGCTGCGCGGAGGTGAGCTGCGTAATTGTGCCGCGTTTTGGCTCTGATGGAGAACATCGCCAATGGAAGGATTCAGAAGGAGCGTGTGTTCAGAGATCATATTGATCTACTAGGAAATCTTGATGACGGTTCATTAGAGTTTAGATTGCCCAGACTGATCATCCTGGAGCTCTGAGCAGAACCTAAAGAAGGAGCCGTGCGGTACCGGTGCAACTGCAGTCATCCTTCAGTCAAGCCATGCCCGCTTTGTGGATGCGCCTTTATGGACAGAAAGCATCTTTATTCTGTAAATGTACAACTTATACACATCTATATTTAGAATAAATGTCCACATTCCCACTCAAAGACTCTCTGGCACGCTGTCTGTCTTTAAATCCCAGCTGAACACCATGATGTTCAAACAGGTATTTGCATGATTTCTTCATTTTTTTTTAAATTTGGATTTTTTTTCTTTGAAATGTATTACTTTTATTTTTGTGAGTTGACCTTATGTGTCCTGAAAGCACCTTTTAAATAAAATATATAATTACTATTATAAATACTTATTCTGCTACAAACAAGGACATTGCCATAGTTATTACTTCACCTTGTGGCAGACATCCAGGTATTTATACTAATTTACATATGTATTTAAGGGTGGCGACAGGGAGCGGACCAGAAGCTGTGCTCTATTTCTCGCTAATTGGGATGTATAAAGTAAAGATGCGGAGGTACGTGCGCACGGCTTTATACATCCGGATTTTTTTTTTTTGTGCGCCGCACTTTTCTAAATTTGTCCGTACACCAAGTTTTAGTGTAAAAACTGCGCACTCTTTTATGCATGAGACCCCTGGTTTTTGTGGCAAATTTTAGTCTGGCCCATAGGCTGAAGTGAGGAGCTAGCTGTTAGCTGTAGCTCTGTATCACTAATTAAAAATCCTTTCAGTAAGTAAATACTTACAGCAAAAGACATGTAAACATTTTACTTACTTTCACTGCTCAGTGGCTAGAAACAGATTAACAGTAAAAATCAGACTGCAGTTTATTTCATTACTTAGAAGAATCATAATTAGGACTGAAACAATTCCTCGAGGGATTCGGGTATCTCAATCATTAAAATTCTTCGAGGAAAGTTTATCTGCCTTTAAAGCTTTGTTAAGTTATATTTTGTTATTTAATGCACTGTTTTCCGGCCGGGTTGTTACTTGCCTTGCTCTGCGCTCTCAATTCCACCTGAGTTGTTGACGAAAGCTAACGTAGCAGCATAACGTCCAGTTTTCAAGTTCGGCCTGAAGGATTTTATTAATTCATGATAATGCCCAGATTTTTGTCGTTTTTCGTTTAAGCTGCTTAAAAGGACTGGCGCGATGCCTGGAGCTTTTCTCCTCCCGGAGCTGCTGCCTGGTGGCCGGTTCAGAGCGAACGGCGGGCACGAGCGCTGGAGGTGTATTTATACAGGTGAACGGATAGACTGAACACTGTTAGGTAAAACTAATCATTGTTTTATCATTTTATTTGAGTGTTTTATCTAAATGTGTTCAGTTACCTAACTGGCTCTGACCAGTTATTCTTTAAGGTTCTTTCTTTATCTATAATGTAATTTCCTACTGAAGGGGTCCATCTATTTTGTTATCTCAGCATTGTTCTACTGAAGAAGGTCATCATAATAAAAGCAAATTCCAAGCAGAGTTGAGCAGAGCTCACCAATCTTTGATCCCGAGTGGGTTAGAGGTTGTGGATCTCTCCCTTTGCAAAGGAAGGCATAAAAACCTCATTGGTCTTATGTCTGGTTCTTTACAGGTCTTGAGCTAATTTTAAAAACCCCAACAAACACTGCAGGCGGCTGTGCATTAGGTGATTAACACAAGTGTAGCTTTACGAACGGATCGGAAAATTGATTTCATATCATCCCGGTCGCAACAGATGGGTGGCGGTGCTCATCATGGCGGCACGTTGTTGGTAGATGACTTTCTGTGTGTCACGAAGGAAAGAGTCAAATCCCGTCGCTGGAGTATTGACTTTTTTTTTTATAAGTGTATTTGTGAGCCTGCCTCTATTATTGAATTGAATCTAATTTCAGATTTTTGTATTATTTTTTTCAGGTTAACTTAGAAAGTGAGCTACTATTGTTATAAGTTGATTTTCTAAACTACAGAAAACTTATTGGTAGGGAAGCTCAAATGTGAAACCTTTTTTGTTAAAGGTAGCAAACATCTCATTCATATTTAGCTCTTTAACTTTAAGTTAAGTGGAAGAGTTTGAAAAGCGAGGAGGGGCTGAGCAAGTGGACCAGCTCAGTGTGGGAGCCAAGAACAGATAGAAAAACATAAAGTTATGGCTTTATTTCTCATTGTCTTCAATGTAGAGCCTTTAAAACTACAAAATAAAATCTTAATATTTTTCTAAATAAACCCTTGTGCTTTAAGTATTATGTTTAAATTATGATACTCCCCAGATAGTCATTTCTACTTATTTGTTCTTAGTCACCCAGGATATGCCAAAACTAAAAATGGCTTAAAAATAAAGCAACTTAACAACTTATAATTTACATAGGTCATAACTTGTATTGGGAGCCATTTCAATAAATCAATGTTTATGATAAATTTTATTAAGATGAGTTACTCATTATACACCTTTAAATTTTTGTAAAGGTGTAGCAGAGATTAGATCAGTCAGACTGAACAAAACTCGTATAAAAGCAACATTTGAATTTTAGTCTTACCTCTCTGCAGGCTCCTTACTTAGAAAAACATGCTTGATGTGCATTACTAGTCATTTTTGGTCCTGCAGCTTGAATGTGGTTTAAAAACTTTTTAAACGACATTTTAACATAACATTTCAATGGAACCTCGCCGATCCCCCCAAAATTATTCTTAAGAAATTTTCCTGTTTATGGTCCCCCCAATAATGAGATGGGATCTACGCCCTTGGTCTGGCTTTGTGATGACTAAAAGCCCCTGGCAGCAACCTCCCTTCTGTGAGACTGCCCAAGGGCAACTGTAGCTACAATGTAGCTTAGCACCATCAGTGTGTGTGTGTGAAGGGGCTGAAGGACACTATTCAAATGCAGGTCACTTACAAACAGCCTAATTTTGATTCTACAACCATGCTCTTTTATTATAACAACAGAAAGGACCTGATTTTTGTCCACTGATGATACATTAGGGTTGAAGTAGAAGTTTGTCCTGCAATCAGCAGGTCGCCAGTTCGAGCCCATGTCTGTGTCCATCAGTGTAGTTGGGCAAGACATTTCACCCATCTTGACTGTGGCGGGCAAAAGGGCCGATAGCCCAGGATCAGACTGTAGCTACAATCCTGTATCCTGGGAATGTCTGGTTTCATTGTAAAGGTTCTTGGAGTGTCCTAATAAAGCGCCATCAAAGTCTAATGTTATTTCATTCTTTTAACATCTTGTGGTCTGCTTCATGGTTGTACTTGCTTCATTAACCACACCTGGCAAGTTGGGCATTGTTTTGAATGGCTTCATTATAGGCGATTTTCTGAACAGTGGAATGACTGATATCTAATTCTTTTGAGACCTCTTTAAATTCTGTACTAGACTCTTGCAATGTCAGCTTTTGACCTCACCAAGGTGTTCACTCTCATTTTAACAGTTAAACTAAATGCCTGATGTCTAAAAAAGGCAAACATCTTTTAAAATGCTGAGTAACAACATTCTAGACTTGCTAAATAAAATAAAGTGAAGAATGTTAAGAGATTTTACACACGAATGATAAAAAATTGGCTACCCTCTACATTTTTAATTCATGTTGGTGAAAAAGTACCAGAAGTAAAAAATTATAATGGTTAAAACAAGTAAATACAACTGAGAACTGTATAAAGCTAAAATTGTGAGAGTAAAGATGGTCAGAAGGGTTCTTGTTGATGGAAAATTAAGAGACCCTGGGAAGAAATGTTCAATTTAAGTAGCTATTAGACTCTTGTTGGGGAAAAAAAACAACAGAAAATGAGTCCCAGGGTAGTCTATCATTAACTGGCATAAGCCAAAATGGGTTCCAAGTTCAGCTGTCAAGTAAGAGTTACCACATGAACCTCAGTAGGAGGCTTTTTTAGTTCAAAATGCCAGTGTATGTGTGTAGTGTTAAAAATCAGATAAAAGGTATAGGTTTCTTGAAAGGATGGTAAAAACAGCTAAATATTCTGCTATATCACAGAAAGCTAGTCAGAGAATGAACATTTGGTTCAGGTACAGTAAATCCTGACTCCTGTATTCTTGTTGTCTTATAGGACCAACAAGAATCTGTCTTACAAATTTAAGGCAGTATAGTCAACAAACTGGATTATGCAGGTATCTCCGATTACATCTCTGTTCTACTTCTCAAGTCTCTCTTTATAAGGAAACCAATGCAACAACAGATACAGACACTGACTTCCTTAGCTCCTTTTTCTTAAAAAATGTAGGTAAACCAGCGTACTGATTCATTTACTTAACTAAAGGTTATACAGTTATGATCAATAAATTTGAATATGCATTCCAAGGAGGTTTATATAAATATATATATTTTTTTATAATTTTACGTCATGTTTTCATTAACTGTAAAAAGAAAACCATAATTAACAGAAAAAGTCTTTAAAACAACCACCTGTGGGTAATTAATGTATGTAATGGGTTTCATTTTGTGATAAACTTACAGAAGTTAATGGACTGTTCAATAAAATTGCAATTTATTGAATGGGTCTATATATTGGGTTGATATTCTCATCAACACCAAGCCACAGGCACAAATAAGATACAAGTCCAGCACATTTTAGAGGATTTCTCCCAGTGAAGTCAACAGAAACAAGATGAATCTGAAAACTCCTGCAGAAACTCATAATCTGGATGTTGGTTTAACCTGATAAGTAACAGAAATGCTACCTCAAAGTTTCAGAAAAAACAGGGAAAATGAACAATTACTACACTGTTTTCCTAGAATATATACAAAATGAATAATGAGCCACGAGAATTCCAAGATAATCAGTACTTTGGATTCCTGACCAGTAGGCCTTAAAATCCATCAGCCAACCTTTAACGTGGTCTGACAGCCGTGAAATACCAACAGGCTGGAATGTTCTTTAATAGCAGGTCTAAAGAGCAGATGTTGAACTGCAAAACAACGGCACACCTCTAACTGGGTGTGTTTGTAGGTGTAGTTCAGGAATATGTTTGCTTTTGTGTTGATCTGAACCCTCTTCCACTTATCGTGAGCAGTGTGATCCTCTACAACAAACCTGGGATTCATCACCAGCCGTCTGAAGAAATATGTCCATGTGATGTAATCCATAGCGTCCTGCTTGGACGAGATAGTTCCGGCTGCAATTTCAGCATTCAGGTGGTCCGACAGTACACTGAGGAGGCTGAGGGCACAAGAACCAGACAGAGATATTGATTAGTGGCTGAGTTAACATCCTTTGCTGCTACACACACAAAAAACGTCACTGTACTGTACCCAATAAATACCTACAGCACCAGCCACTGTTGTGGATAAGTGAAAGATTAGCTTGAACTGAAATCTGTCATTTTTATTTTTTAAAGTTCAATCTTTAATATGTATGGATTTACTCAGAGGTGAAAATAATCTCATGTTTAGAAATACCAACTTTACCTTACCTCCACATCCAATAAGCAGAATAGTAAAGAAGGCTAAGAAATCTCCAAAGCTCACTGTTAGACAATGGAACCAAAAATTGGTATTTTAGGGTCCGTAAGTTTCCAAAACAACCCTAAGATGCTAATTACATACTCAAAAATTTCTTATGAGTTATGCCAAGCAAAAGCCTTTTCTGCCAGTTATCAAGTAGAGAAACCAGAGGAGTTTACTAAACTCTACTGGAACTTTAACTGGAAATGCTCTGTGTACTTTACACAAGGAGAAATGCAGGCATTTGTAGCGCAAAAGAGGAAATGAAGCAAACAGATGTCCGTTACCTGGACTCAACAGGGAATGGTTCATAGAGAAACTTCTTGTAGAAATCCTTCTTGATGTCATGGACCAGAATAACTGCTTTGCCCTGGTCATCAAACTGTGGACGACCAGCTCGCCCCATCATCTGCAGGACATCTACATTCACAATGCAATATTACAACAGACTGTTTTTTCAGCCCATGTTGCAACTGCTTTTTAATAGGCCAATCTATACAGTAATTTTACTCAAGTGTAACTGTTATTTTTTCTCAATATTTTAACTTTTTTTTTGTCTAAGACAAGTTCACAAAGCTGGTTAGTATCAGAAAACAAAGCAAAGAAATAAGATACTTTTGAGTTTTAAAGGATAGTTTGGTGTAAATACACTCCCCAGCCACTTTTTTATTTAGAACTGCCTTAACACTGTGTAGCAAAGACTCAACAAGCTGTTGAAAACACCCCCTGGAGATTTGACTCCATATTAACATGTTTTGGCTGAACATCCATTATGTAAATTTCCTGTTCCAGATCCCATCAATGCTCTGTTGGATTAGATTCTAATGTCTGTGGAGACCATGGAATACAGTGAAGTCATGTCCAGGAAACCAAGTGAGAGTATTGATCTATGTTATATGGTATATTGAAGCAACAATCAGGGGATGGTTATACTGAGGTCATACAGGGATGGACGTAGTCAGTTGTCGTCTAATTTTGACAGACTTGTGGCCTCATTTTTGTGTCCTTGTGTGACAAGTGTGGCACCTGGGGTGGATTTTCTGCTGCTGTTGCCAATCTGCTTGAAGGCTTGGTGTATCGTCCATTCAGAAATGGCATTCATCATACCTTGGTATACTGGTATGATGGTGGTGGAAAGTGTTTATCGGAGCCACTGATTCGCAGTAAATTGAGTTCTGCTGTGGTTTACTATAGTGAAGGAAGAGGTGAACCAAAAAGCAAAACTCTCTGTTTACATTCTGAAAATCACCCACAGTCTTGAGACAGGGATCAGGATTGAAAGAACGAGAACCCAGCTCCTGAAAACAAGCTTCCTCTGGAGACTGGCTAGACTCAGTCTTTATGACAGGTTAAGGAACTCAAACCTGAACCGCTTCCTTTCCTCATTAAAAGGGATAAGTTGAATTGGTTGATCAGAATGTTTCCTGGATGCCACCACTAGTTTTAAGGGCCTGTATCACTGGGGGTATACCCTGGGGATTCCCCAGAGCTCACTAAAATATTTCACCAGGGAGTGGTTAACTATAACTGAAAATGTTCTGTGTACTTTATACAAGGAGAGACGTTGGCATTTGTTGGAACTGTTGCCCCTGTTATCCTATCTTGGATAAACAGAAGACAATGGATAGATAGATAGATGGATGACACTCTTTCTCGAACAACCCTTCACCTCGAACCAGTCCGGTCCCCATGAACATTGATATCAACATACACTTCGTCTATACTACTGCCGGCCACTGAATACTTTTTTCTTTTTTTGAACACTGTAAAGCTGAGAAATGGTTCTGTTGAAATCAGCAGTTTCTGAAATACTCAGACTTGCCTGACTGCCAAAAACAGCCAGTCCACGTTCAAAGTCAGTTAGATTCCAAATCTGTTCGTTCTGATGTTGGTTTTGAACTTCAGTAGGTCGTCCGCACCACCTACTGATGGCTAAAGGGATTAAGTTCATGTCATGTGATTGGCTGCTTTGCTAGTTGCATTGACAATCAATTAATCAGGTGTAGCTCAAAGTGGCCATTTAGTGTATTTGGCACATATCTATACTACACTGACTTTATCAGATGCAGAAGTGAAAATAACCAAGCCTGTGTACCTGTAATGGGGTAGTCCACATAGCGCCTGGATTTTCCATCGTAGTATTCTGTTCCCTTGACAACCACCAGGTGGGCAGGAAAGTTTACTCCCCATGCCAAAGTACTGGTGGCGATCAGAACCTGTTAATGTTTTTTACAGGAATGAAAACGTAACAAAAAATATGATAATCTAGAAGACAACAATCATCAGCAAGTCTATCTTTCATATAACTACAAGACACAATCCACAAGACAAAACAGAACAGGTGCTCAGAAATATCAGCATTCATTACTACATTTCCCATACAATCCTTTAAACAACATTACAGAGGGCTAAAGGAAATCGCTAGTGGACTGCAAATATTTGGATGAAATTATTTGTCCCAAATGTCATTTAGACATGAATGCCATGTCTGAATGGGCAACACATCAAACCTAGCTAAATTTCTTTCAGTCATGAAGTAAAATTAGTAGAAATTATGATTCCATACTTTTGACCAAGTTTTGGATTACTTGTAAATAATGAAATATTAACAAGTGAGTATGCTGTTGCAGCTCATACCTGGATCTTGCAGTTGACAAACAGCTCCTCCACAGTCTTTCTGTCCCTTTCATGAAGACCGGCATGGTGCATGCCAATCCCAAAGGCTAGGGTCAGCTTCAAGTTGGAATCTCTCACCGTAGCAATGACATCCTCTATCTGCAGATGGATCAGAGCAAAATAAACATGTCAGAAACACACCAGACCAAGGAGGACGAATACTTCACGAGGGTTAAGACTGGTCCCTAGTTTCATGATAGTGCTTGTGTGAAAAAAAGTTATTCTGTATAACTTTTTATACAGAATAATTTTATATATTATCCCTCCGATAACATATCGCAATAAACAGCTTGTAGCAATATATTTGTGCAAATACTGCTAACACTAATCATAATGCTATATGAACACGTTGTTTGTCTTTTCCTGGAATCTGTAGTCAGACGTTAAGAAGATGTAGTTACCAGTGACGGTCCAAGTTCTCACTACCCTGGGATTCATGCAAGCGGATAATTTTAGCAGGATTTGGCTGACAGTTTGGGAATGTCCCCGTCATCCCTCAGCCAAGCAAACACCTGGTGAAAACGAGCATCTTAGGAACTACTTCTCAGTCCAATGCTCCTAAGAACAAAGTGAACTGCTGCTGCATTTGTGCTTTATATACTTCCGTGAAAACCCATCTCCTTTGTAAAGATTAAAGTATTATTTTTTTGTAGTCTCGTTCAAAGGAAAATCCTCTGAACGAGAAAAAGACGCACCGCTGACTACTGCTAGCATAACAATCGCGGACATTATCTCGCTCCTTAGCAGTCATAAAGAGGCCCTGTCTGCGGAGTTCAAGTTGTCTTTTGAGTCTCTGAACTCCACACTGGACAGCATCAACTCAACTATGACAGATCACGGTCAGCGTACTTGCTCTTTGAAAGATAATGCAACTGCTTCTGACGTGCGCTTGCTGCAGGTGGAGAAGGTGTGTGCTAACCTTTTAAAAGAAACTGAGATGCTGAAAGTTAAAGTGGTGGATCTGGGGGGCGCGTAGAAGGGGCCAAAACATTTGCATTGTCGGCTTGCCAGAAGATATAGAAGGTCCCCGGCCATCCTCATTTTTTTCTCAACTTTTGACTGAAGTCTTCGGTTTAGACACTCTCCCTTCCCATCCTGAGATAGATCGAGCGCACAGCAGCCTGGCCCCCAAGCCTGCCCCAGGATCGTGTCCTCGCCTTTTCATCCTGCGCTTCCATAGATTCCAAGAGAAAGACCTGATTATCCGCGAAGCCCGCAAGAGGGGTGCACTGTCTTATCAGGGGCATAGAATCTGCTTCTATGATGACTACAGTCCAGAGCAGGGGTGAAAGTAGGGGGGTATGGTCAGGTACCCCTAAAAGATTAAGCGGGGGTAGGCAGTACCTGCAAGAGAGGGGAGCAGCTGTCTGCTGTAAAAAGTCAGTGGGTTCACTGTGCAGCTGTGAGTTCCCCCACTAATCAGCCGTGACTGATTAGTTTTTCAAGAACAATCTAAAACATGACTTAATCAGTTAATAAATATCTTTTTTCTCATTTCATATTGTTTCTGAACTGTTCTTTGCTACAGCAGGGGTGCAATAATACGTAGATCGCTGAAGGTTTTGAGTCGATCTCGGCATTAGGTGACAAACTAAGCGCCGCCAGGACGCTGAAACCAGCACGTCCTCCTCTGGCTCCTTATCAAAAAGTTCGTAACTTTATTAAACAACAAAAAAGTCAACAAAACGTGTTCAAATTAATGACCCAACAACAATAATAATCTCAGTAATTATTGTTTCAACAAGGTGTTGCGCAATTCTGTGCGTTTCAGTTCCATGCCAAAATAACTAGCAGAGCAGGAGTTTAAAATTAACTAATCAACCACCGCTGTCTTCGGGGAGCGCTTATTAATAATTGCAAAATAAATATCAAGCCTGAAAACCTAATGTCGTAACGGACTGAATGTTATGTTTTTAAAGTAATCTCTGCTCGGCTTGCGGAGCGCAGGCGGTTGCCAGGGCAATGGGTGTGCTTAAATGACAAAGAGAGAGAGTGTAAAAAGGTGCGAGTGGTTTTGAGTTGATAACCTGTTCAGGTTGTTTTACCTTTGTTTACCTGTAGTTTCTGAACATTCAATAAACGACAAACTTGGACTAATTACCTCGTTCTTTGTGACTATACGTCAATTACAACAAACATCAAACATGGTAAATATGTTTCATTAAGTATTTAACAAACAAATGGCTTCTACCGCAATAATTATGTGAAATTAAATTAATTGTCTAATATTAAAAAAAAAAAAACTAGTTTGAGCATTTTGCTGGAGGTAGGCACCAGCACCCTTCCTG